AGCACCAGCTTGAAGCACCGTGACAACTGTAGATCTCAGTGCAGACAGCACATGCTAGTCTACCCCCGCGTCTCTTGTATAGATAGTAGCCAATCCCACTGGCAATCCGGTGATACGTCGCAGCAGGAAACCTCATCGGCGTCAAGCAGCAGAGACAAATGGCCCATGGAGCGTTCTAAGAAATTGAAATACGGCTCCTCATCACTGACGCCCTTGCGATTCGTCCTGCACGGATACTAGTAGCAGTGTACGAATGTCTGCGCAGATGGATCCGGACGTCGCCGAAATATCACAAGTTTATTCCGTCAGCTGAAGCACTGCGACCTTCAGGCTTCCGCGGAAGTATCTCCTGTCTGTAATGTATCGAGCTTGCCTTTCTCGAAGCAATTGCTGACATTTCCAACCAACTCTAATCCTCACGAATCACGACGCCCTTCAAATCCGTGCCTGTCGCAATTGCTGGGAACCCAGAGGCTTTGTGTCATCTTTGTTTTTAGAGTCTCCCCTTCTTTAGCTTTACTCTCTTTTTATCTGACGCAGTTCGGGCTCGACTCCTACCTACGCTCTTTACGATAGAATTCAGTAATACCCATCACGAATCTCACCAGATTGCAGTTCAATTGACATTGACGGAAAAATAAGACGAACGTCCACGCTTTCGTGGAGCTGAAGCTTCCTGCTGAATTCCAGTTCTTCCATGCCGCTGCCAGAAATTTGCGGCGTCGAGCCTACCATACAGCAATCTTTCTACCAGGCAAGTGGCTGGGAAGTCAACCACGGTATTCCCACCTGGAACCTGACTTAACCGGACAGCAGAAATCATGGGCAGCATTCGACGACGCCAGTGTCGTAAGATCACCCACGGACGGAATGAAGACGAAGAGTCCTCGACATTTCACCGCCGCGGACTAGTAGGGCAGTTATGATACTCGACCGCCAGCATTGACACCACAGAACAAGAATCTCAGTTGCTGACAATACCTGACCATGCCATTGGGTACAGATGACCAGAAACCGCGAGAAGATGACACCTGCGGGGTCTCTTAGACCCTGCTCCTTCCGTCTACCAGCTAAGAACCGTCTACGTACGATAAGGAGGGAACGTAAGGGGCTGTTGCCCGAAAAACTAGGCGAAAG